ATTCAACCCCCCCGTTTCTCCCCCCAACCACCCATCCACACCCCCTGTCCCCTGACCACCACCCCGAACTCCCCCTGCCCTCTATCCAACCCCCCCTGCTCCCTGCCCCCTTACTGCGCTGCCTGGAGCACCGGTGGCTGGCGGCGCTGGAGCCGGGCCACGCTGCTGCTGCCATGCAGCACAGAGCACTGGGTCAGGTCGGGCTCTGCAGCTGTACTGCCCCAGGAGCTCACAGCCCTGGCACCCAGAGCATTGCACTAGCGGCAGAGCAAGCTGAGACTGCGGGGGAGAGGGGACAACAGGGAAGGGGCCGGAGGCGAGCCTGCTCGGCCAGGAGCTCGGGGGCCGGGCAGGATGGTCCCACGGGCCAGATATGACCCGTGGGCCATAGTTTGCCCACCCCTGGTGTAGAGCCCTCTCTGTCAAAGACACATGGGAGCAAGGATTGGTAGAAGAGACAATCAGTAGCTGGGCAGCTACAGTAGCTGGAATCCAAGCCAATTACCACAGTTTAACAAGGACACGTGCAGAGTCCTGCACTTAGGAAGGAAGAATCCCATGCACCACTACAAGCTGGGGACCAACTGGCAGCACTTCTGCAGAAAAAGACCTGGGGATTACAGTGGACGAGAAGCTGGATATGAGCCAACAGTGTGCCCTTGTTGCCAAGAAGGCCAAAGGCATATTGGGCTGTATTAGTAGGAGCACTGCTAGCACATAGAGGGAAGTGATTATTCCCCTCTATTCGGCACTGGTGAGGCCACACCTGGAGTACTGTGTCCAGTTTTGGTCCCGCACTACAGAAGGGATGCGGACAAATTGGAGAGAGCCCAGCGGAGGGCAACGGAAATAATTAGGGGGCTGGGGCACATGACTTACGAGGAGAGGCTGAGGGAACGGGGTTATTTAGTCTGCAGAAGAGAAGAGTGAGGGGAGATTTGATAGCAGCCTTCAACTACCTGAAGGGGGGTTCCAAAGAGGACGGAGCTCGGCTGTTTTCAGTGGTGGCAGATGGCAGAACAAGAAGCAATGGTTTCAAGTTGCAGTGGGGAAGGCTAGGTTGGATATTGGGAAACACTATTTCACTAGGAGGGTGGTGAAGCACTAGAATGGGTTACCTAGGGAGGTGGTGGAATCTCCATCCGTAGAGGTTTTTAAGGCCTGGCTTGACAAAGCCCTGACTGGGATTGGACTAGATGACCTCCTGAGGTCTCTTCCAACCCTAATATTCTAGGATTCTAAACACACTGCAACCCCTTCATTTAAATTAAACTTGACTCACTCAAAACAAAAATAAAAATTAAATCCCTGTTAAAGCTTTACCTCAATTCATTCTGACAGAATAAATTGTTTTTTTAACTGAATATTTTAGGATAGTAGCAACACATTTGTTAAGTGACCTTTCTACAAGAATTCTCAAATGTTGTAGAAACAAACTGGCTAATATGCTTGTTAGCACTGCTAATTTTTCACAAAGAAAGCCATTCCAGAAGTCAAGTTTCTTGTTCATTTAAAATCACATGCATCTCTAGTAGTGTTTCACAATTCAGGCATATTTATGACTCAAGATTTTCAAGGACAATTCAAGGTTTTCAGAGTACTCCTATTCATTAACCCAGCAGGTGTTTGCAAGGACACTCAGCAACCTCATAGCTTAAGATGAATTATATTGTTACTGAAGTACACCTACATGCTGAATGTCTCGGCAGCCTTGACTTACAAGAAAGAATGAGTAGTAACTGAGGTAATATCTCATTAGACCAACTTCTGTTGGTGGAAAGTAAGCTTGTACTTTCTAATAACAGCAATTGGTCCAATAGAAGATTCTACTTTACCTGCCTTGTGTCTTTCACATCCTGGGACCAATGTGTCTATAACAGCACTGCAAAAAAAGAATGAGATACTTTCAATATAAAACTGATGCCAGACACACTGTACTAAACAGAACTACGTTAATATGAGGTACCTTTTAGTTTGTGCTACAGTGTCTACATGGGGCAGTTACAGAGCAACACTTTAGGGAGCGCTGCAATTCACACTTGCATTGTCCGAACAGGGCCACATAGACAAACAATAAGATTGCTGACATGGAGTTGCCAACTATCGAGCTTGCAACCTTAATGAACCTAGATAATAGAATTTAGGCACTGCAGACAACTCCAGAGGTACCAAACCATTGGATTGCATGGACTTGCAAAGAAAAATTACAGCAACTTCTGAGCCTAAATCAATGTCTCTCATCAAGACATTTCCTTGAACCATAATTAGATCAATATATGTTGTATGGACTGTAGACATAGAGCAGATGAGTAGGGGAATTTTTAGACTAAGAATACACTTGTGTTTTAATTCAGGCTAGAAAGGAATCCTTTGCAGCTTGCTAAAAATAAGGAGACATGTTCTTACAATGAAAGCTTCTCTGCCTACAAGGTAACCTGCTTACTCTGGCAGCAATTTCACCACACCTGGCCCTTGAGGCCCTCTCCACAATACACACCTTTGGGAAATGTTTCCCAATGGTTTTAAACAAATGTGTTTGCCTCACTTCTCAGAATGCAATCATGAACATTGCTCTTCTACTCAATGGTTTTCCTTAACCAGCTTAGCTATAGTGCCGACAGGACACTACAAAGTTTGCTGGAGAACCACTTCAGTCACGTTTTCCAGGCAGTCCCTGAATGCACAGCACAATGCCAAAAACCAACCAACTGCAAAGTGTCTACTTCCAACCTAGATATTAAATAAAAATTCAGGATGATCAAATATCCAAGCACAGGTGTGTGTTTTATTCCATTCCATTATTTCACATTTTAAACAGAAGCCTGTTCTATAACAATTTTCTTTGTTTTCCTCTTAAGCAGGTTGGGTCCTGTTTTCCTCTATTGACTTGTGGATTTAATCCTCTTAAAATGCTCCTTTAGGATGCATAGAGCTCATTTTAAAGACATCAGTGGCCCTGTAAACTGTTGTTTCACAGTGTGAATGAGAAAGATTTGGCTGGTAGCTCTCAAGATTGGTGGGAGTGGAAGTTTCCACATGTGTAATAAATGTGCTAAATTTATACGTAGAATTCAGTCAAGCTCTTTCCCCATATAATGGCCTCTTTCACACATCCTAGCCCACAGAATAATGTCCTCCTATCCATGTATCTGTACTACATAGTTCCTTTCTGCATGGACAAGACAAACCAGCTCTGCCAAATGCCCCACTTCTTCAGCAAAAACAGAGAACTGCAACTTTCTGTGCATTTCTGCAGCATTCAGGCCAGCTTCAGGAACATATGAAACTGGCTAAAAAAGATCTACTACTCCAGCTCTTTGGGAAATAGAGGGGAATTAGGCACTTTACATTAACAGAAGATTAAATTAGGTATCATCAATTATTTGTATTTCAGTAGCACCTAAAGGCCACAACTGAAATTAAGGCCTTATTGTGCTTGGCACTGTATGTACACAGTCAGAGAGAGTGCCTTACTCCCAAAGCTTACAGCCTAAGCAAACAGGACAGGCAAAGAGTGGGAAAGGGAGAAGGAATGTAAGGCCGTGTCTACACTGCCACTTTCAGCGCTAAAACTTTAGTCATTCAGGGGTGTGAAAAAACATCCCCTTGAGCGACAAAAGTTTTAGCACTGAAAAGTGCCAGTATAGACAGCGCTTTATCGCCGAGAGCTGCGCTCCAGCGATAAAGCTACCACCCCTTGTTTGGGGTGAGGGTTTTTTTGGTTTTTACATCTCCAGGAGAGCTCTCCCCCGGCGATAAAGCGTGTCTACACTGCCCATGTCACAGTGCAGCTGTGGCAGCACTGCCGCCGCCGCACTGTAATGTGGTCACTGTAGACATACCCTAACATACAAGCAGAGTGAACAATGTGATGACTAGAAGAGACATGTTAGCTTCAAAGTTTGGGATTTGTACTTAGTTTTGTTGGTTTGGGAGGTGGAGTTTTGCTAGGAGTGGGTTAGTTAAATGGCAAGACAAAAAGAAAGGGAGAGAATACTTAAGGGAGGAAGAGAGGGAAGAGGTTTAAACAAAAACCTCTTAGCCCGTACGGCTGCAAAGATAGCCTTACATACAAATTAATGCACTGCTATCTTCCCAAGTCTGCAGAGACCCACTCCGCCCCTGCTCTGAGCTTTGTTGATAAAACCCGAGCCAGTTTTCCTGCTGCTATATAGAATCGTTGGTTCTCATCAGTTCCATTCTTTGGCAGCTGGGGTGAAAAAGTAGGAGCAGCAAAAGAGGCAAGCACTATTCAGTCTGGAAATGGACCAAGAAAAATGGGGCAGAGGGGCATGGTAAAGCAGTAGGATGTACATTCAGCAAACTGAGGAAGGAAAAGACTGAAGACACCCCATATATCTCAGCAGCTGCTAGAAGACTTGGTGGTGGGGATTGTAGGCGAGTGGACACAGTCACCTTTAGCTCTTCCCACAGAGGCCACATCAGTAGCTCTCAAGACACTGCTGAAGGAGATGGCAGCAAGATAGCTGAGGCAGTCTCTCTGGAAGCCTCCCAACCCATCCAAGACAAACTACCAGATCTCTTTCCACTGTGGCCCTGGGAGAGCTGCAGTGGTAGAGCTCCTTCCCATCACAGCAGCAGCAAAGGAGAATAAGGAAGTAGGCCTGCGTCTGGGTTTAGCTACAACCAGGGATGTCACACAGAGCATGACATCACCCACAATGATGTGACCCGTCAGTAATCACTGACATGAAAACTTCACTAAACCATGATGGGATATCCTCATTAGTGCTGAATGTAATAATCAGCCTCATGGCTTTTGTGAGGGGACCACATTGAGGGAAGGGAGGAGAGAGAAAGTAGGTCAAGCACAATCCAATCTTTTGTCCTCTGATGGCACAGACTGGTGCAACTTTCTGTCCTAACTGCAACCTATTTACTGAGATCAGGAATGAGACCACAAACGCATTTTACATAAGTCATCCAAACTACCAGCCTACCCTTTATTTGAACCTGCATCTTGAGGAGAAAAGGCTCCATTATCTTGTGGCAGCTTCAGCAATTGCTAACACAATAAAAGGAATATTAGAGAAGTAGTCGATGCATTTTTAGTTGTCTTTTATGAAGTTTAGCAGCTAGTAAAAGGGAGGATGACCAATATCATGTGACCAGTCAGCTTTCCATAGAACCCTAGCAAGTGCCATGCAGCACACGTTCTAGAAATCTCTGCCTAATCCCAAATCATCCCATCTTGCTCACCCATGCCTGTATTTCACATGGACTCTTCAATTAATCAGACTCCTGCCTCATTCTCTCTGTAACATTTGCTGTTCATCGTACTAATTATATGTCTGATTCCACTATCAAAAATGTGTGGTTACCCAAGTGGAAACAATGGTAACCTCACAATAACACAGCTACAAAGTTGCATCACCTCTGTACTTGAAAGAGCAGACAAAGCTGAAATTAGAACCTAGTGAAAGTATTACAATGTCATCTATAAATATCATATATCACTGGCATGTTATAATTTAAGCATCAACACGGTTTAACGCGGATTATGGACTGTCCAATCACCTCTGTGTGGTTTCTCTTCCAATGTAAACAGAAAAAAAAAGGGAAACTAAAAACAGCTAGAGGATGCAAAATTCTGTAATGAACATCCCAAGATTAAGGACACAGATTGGTCTTGATTTTCCATTGCCTTGCACTCTGTGCAGTCTTTTATATTTGTACAAAAGGAGCTTCACACACTACCATTCTGATCTGGTAGCATTTTTGTACAGGTGTAAGTGACTACACAACGTATAAACAATGGAGAATCAGCAAGTGATGGAAAGAGTGCTACATTTGTTTATCTTTCAAATGAACACACTTAGTAGATACAACACACTCCTAGGGATAAATATGGCATTACATAGCAAGGTTTTCCTTTTATAATTTATGAAGAGATGAAAGTGACTACTGACAAGGAGAAACAAACATCTGGTTGATAACATTCATATACTGAATACAATTTTTGAAGCAGCAATAGTAACTGTGCTCCTTCCATGTGAATGTGTGTGCTGACTACTGATCTACCCTTTGGCTGTTCTCCATACAGCCAGCCACAAGACAACATGAAGAAAAAAAAATCCTCACAGAAAAGTCTCTCAGAGCATTTTTATATGGAGTATGTGTGAGAAACCTTGAGATACAAAAAAAAAAAAATCAGTGTATGTCCTCTATCTAAAGACAATGCAGAATTATTAATTTTGAAGAAAGTTTTCCCTATATTTAGGCATTTAAAGGTCATATACATGAATATTTTACACAAACAGAATGAATTTCACCAGCTGGAAGAGGTACAGTGCATAAAACACCTTGAAATCACAGGGTTTAATCCACTGAGATTTCTGTGTGCCTTGGGGTCTTTGTTTTTCTAAAGCAACACAGGAAGAATTTAAAGATCTGTCAGTTTTCAGCTGAAAATCCTATTCCTAAACTGGATTATCTGGTAACCTAAAAATACCAACCATTAATCTCCAGAAGTCATGAGCTCATGTACCCCAGAAAGTCCTGAACAAACCGCTAACCAAAGGAAACAATGTCAGACTCCAAATCAGATCACTCTGGAGCAGCATCAAACTTTTTATTTCAGAGCTGTCACATTATAATTCTTTCTTATGGTTCCTACATAAATTATTAGAAACAGAAGAGGTATTTGTTTGTACAGAGACTGACACCAAAAATGACATTTCAGTATAATGTTAGTCTTAAAATAAAATTTAAAAAAATAAATAGTTTAGCTACAGCTCCCAGAGACGCAGGCTTCCTAGTCCAGCTCTGCTGCCAACAAAAAAAGATGTCTACCATCCTGCTCCAGGGGTTCTAAAAACAGGCATAATATAATACAGTACACTGAAATTTGACAATAAAATC